GCCAGGAAGAAAGTCGGCCCCTTGTAACTGTACTATAATCGTTTATAGAAATATTCGAAGATGCACGGATAAAAATTAAACGTAAGTTTGAAATTTTAAAAGCCAAGGTGACCTTTGAATTTTCATGATTAATGAAAATTTCATGAGTAACCACTACAAAGTACATGATCCTACGCTAAATTATGAACTTAATGAATGGGGAATTCATTATGTAGTAATTCCCCGGATGACACTATAGAACAAAGTACTACACTAACCGCATGCTGTAATGTATAATAAATCATTTACAGTCATCTACATATATTAAGGACTACCTAATTAGGATCACAAAAATAAAGCAAATAAGGTTTCATCGTTGTCAATTTTAATACAAAATGTTTTGATAATCGGCTCTCGATTAGATGTCAAACTTGTATGAAATACTCACAACTATCTTTAACTAACTTTCGCCCGCGACTCCATCCGCGTGGAGTAAAAAAAAACAAAAGTAGCCTATATGTTCTTTCAGACTGTCCTCTACATCTTTACCAAATTTCATCGAAATCCGTTCAGCCGTTTAGGCTACAAACTCTAATAAGCATCTATCCATCTATCCATCCATCTAAACTTTCACATTTATAATATTAAGTAAGTAAGTAAGTATAGTAAGTATGAAGTATGATTAAAATTGGAAATGGTTGGCACAACTAATGTTGCTGAAATTTGACACAGATATAGAACATAGTCTGGACGAACACTCCTTAAACATTTTTATTAAATTAACGAGGACAGTCGCAGTCAACAATATCTACTAATATTATAAAGAGAAAAGATTTGTATTTTTGTATGTACCGAAATAACTCAAAAAACTGGTCAGAATTCAATAAAATCTTTCACTATAAATGCTACGTTATCATTTTGTAACGTAGGCTATATTTTATTGCTTTTTTAATTTCACGCGTATGCAGTCCCAAGCTACAGCTTATATCCTTAACCAATATAAGACAGATATTCTCATGAGGCACTTAGTCTGAATTAGCCAATGTTGAAATTAACTTGGCGTGGGATACATTCACAATTAGCTGTTTGATTTACCACCTGTGTAATAATACCTGACGCAATCTTTGTCATCGTTTGATGACAAACGCTTATTGTAATTCTATAGGTACTTATTTACTTAAGTGAAACATAATATAAAAATATTCTACGTAGCTAATAGTGTAGTTATCTCCATTGGGAACAAACCTTCATACAAATGGTTATTTATTCGAGCAACGTCAGGCATGATAATTAAAAAAAAAAGTTAAATTTCTTACATAAAATTGTTACAAGTGTATACTAATATCATAAAGAGGAAAGATTACAAATCTTTTTGGATGTGTAATAACTCAACTTAGAGCGTCGGTTGCTCAGTGGTTTGAACACTTGACTTGTAATCTACAGCTCTTGGGTTCGAATCCCGCCATGTACCAATGTGATTTTCTATTTTTCGAATTTTCATATGTACATAATTTACCCAACATTTTTACGGTGAAGGAAAACGTGATGCAACATGCACATATCGGCGAAGAAATTCAAAGATATGTGTGAAGTCAACCAACCCGCACTGGGCCAGCGTGGTTGACTATGGCCTAGTCATCCCTTATTAGGGTAGGCTCCGAACCCCTCGATGGGGACATATAGTGAGCTGATGATGATGATGATGATGATGATGATGATGATGATGATCAATAACTCAAAAACTACTTGGTCGATGTAAAAAATGTTTCCCTTAAATAGCTACGTTATTAGGGAGTAACATAGACATTTTTTAATTTCGCGCAGACGACGCGATCGCGAGCAACAGCTAGTAGTTAATATAATTGCCCATTAACTCTTGACATTAGCTATGTATAATTGTGAAGATGAAGTTTCATGGGTTACTATTAATGAAGTTATTAAAGTTTGTTTTAGTTGTTTAGACGTTGATTAGTTATTAATGGAATATAATGCAATGTGTTGTAACTGGTGCTCCCAAGTAATATTTGCATGGTCTTGATTTTTTTTTTATCCTAATTTGATCAAAAAAGGTTTGAAGTGTATCGCTGATCCTTTTTTTTGGACGACATTCTGCTATTATATTGTTCTGTTTTTAGGAATCATTGAAACAGTACACCGAGCACATGCCGAATGAATTCCTTTTAATTTTTTTAATAAAATGATTTTTTTCCTCTTCTTTCTTACTTTTTTTTCTTTTATTTGATACGTAATGTCGTCCATTTGTGTGGTGTGTGATTTCGCTGTGAGGTGAGTCTGTGTGCAGTGTGCTTAAACTAGAGTTAATTCTATTCTAGAGAATCAGAGAGCAAATTCTGATTGTTAAGGTAGACGAAACATGGTCTTGATTTAAAAACATTTGGTCAATCCAGATAACGTTTATGTTTTACACATATAGACAGTGGAAATCTATTAATATGGTATACTAAAGGTTGTCGAAAAGTATGCCTTTGTTTACGATTACTTTAAAACGAATTGTTTGCATGGAAAAAAAAAAGTCATTGACAAGTTTGATATAAAACAAAAATTTCGAAACGTACGTGGAGGAGATAAAAAGTACGTTTTTAATTTTTGCCTTTTCATATTTCAGTGAGCGTAGACTCTCATTACGAGAGTGCAGCTTGTTAATTATGGAATAGCCGGAGCGAATTTTATGCCAAATCTGAACATTTACTAGTGCCGTTGACTAATACATTTTTTACATAAGTCCAAAAAATACTATAATGATTTCAATGTAATTTCTCGTGACAATTATAAACATACTAGCTTTTGCCCGCAATTCCGTCTTCGTGGTATTAAAAAAAGTAACTATCCTTTGTGTTCTTACTAACCTCTACATCTAAGCCAAATTTCATTGAGATCCGTTCATCAGTGTAGTCCACAAACTCTAACAAACATCCATCTATCCATCTAAACTTTCAGATTTGTGTGATTAGCAAGAAGTAAGAAGTAAGATACATACTCTTGTAGATTTACTAAAAACAGAATTGTCTAATTTAAGATATCTCTTTAGCCATACTTCGATTAAAAAGCGCTAAATCACGTCCGTTTCTTGACTATTGATATTTAATATTTAGCGATGACCTAATGTAACAATATGCGATAACATAAGTTAATATTACTTACAAACAACTCGAAATGTAGTAAAAAAACTTATATTTAGCACTAATATGATAAAAATAATCACATTTAGTGCAAATACAAAAAAAAAACATTCAAGAATCTATGTTCACAGATTTCGGGAATATGAAAGCATTTATCGGACCATGATAAATAGAACATTCTGGCTCAAAAACCTAAGACAGTTGTTTGAAAAGGGCACCCTTTCTCTATTTTGAACCGAGGTGTAAAAAGTGCAAGTGAAAAGCATAGATTATCAAAAGATTTTATATCTTAGAAATGTCTGGGCGGATTTCGACCGGACTCTCTCTGAAGGGTAGACATAGACGGGCTTATTATAGGCTACTTTTTTATCTAAATATTGCATGGACGAAGTCATAGGCAACATCTAGTTGGATATAAAATCTATGTCCTATTTCAGCTTCTTACAATTCTGTTTACTAGCATTTTTTCAGATATTAAGCCGAGTTAAAATCAAATAGGCGTAGTTACGAAGCACGAAGAATTAGGTCATTGTGACAAATTCTTTCACAACATCGACTGACCCGGAATAACCATATCCCGTTGTCCTGCGAATATGGCCTGTCGTGGCGCGTTCCATTCACGTTATTAAATTCCAACCACGAAATTGATGCCAGTAAAAATGAAGCTCTTTTGAAAATAATTAAAAGTCATAATATTATAGGTTGTTTCTTTAAAGAAAACTTTATTTTGCACGAAAATTGGTAAATTACTTTAAAATCTTTAATTTATTTTTAACAATGTCATAGACCTTTCTATGTATCAACTACTTTCTTACATGACTAAGTAAATGGTTTTTAATTTTTTGGTAATATAGTTGTAATTGTTTTGTAGTAGTTTGCTATAGCAATAACGTATTCAGAATTAAAGTAGTTATAACACAAAGATTACAAAAACATGTTTAAAAATAACCAAAACAGTACGAAGAAATTTTTCTGTAGATATGACATGGTAAAAGGTATCACTTTTAAGCGTGAGTTTCCACTGCGTATTTATTGATACAAAAAGTGAGATATTAGCTTCTTTCGCACTAAGACAATATCGTTTAATAAGTGGACTGTCATTCTACTGGCATAGATAAGTAACTGGCACGTGAGTCCATATAAACCATGCCTGCCTGCGCTACTATCGAACTATACTGGCCTAGTGTGAACCAAACATATTGTGACTCCTTGTTTACCGCGTTAGTAAAACATTAAATTAAAACAAGTTACGTTATCAGTTACTCAATACGTTATATGAGGTCACTATTTAGTAAAAACGGTAGATAAAATTTAACGATTATTAATTGAGTTACCAAAACTGTGAAATATTGTCATGCGAAAATGTTTTTTTAATCATTAAAAATATAAAGTTTATAATCATATGCCGTTACTTTTAGGTTTCATTATAAATTATCAAGACTTTCTTGAAAATGTTAACAGCCCGCATTTTGGGTACGTAAAGATAACATTCTTTGCATTCGTTAAAACCTGTTTTATTTCACCGTTTAGGTTATAACTTAGTGCATACGTATTATATTTGTATAGCTTTCATACCTTGCGGGTACAAATGTATTGGCAAACGGAAAATTTTACGTAAGTCATCGAACGTGCAATGGGTTTTAATAACCGCTAAGTTAAGTAGATTCTAATAAGAATAACAATTTCCCGAAACGTGCCCACAAGTTCTAAATAGGTCATGGCTAAGTCCTTGTAACATTTCTGGAGCCCAGCATCCCAAATCAATATCTACATTACCTAGTAACTACGCTATAAGCTGAACTAAGATGTCTAACCTTGCACTGACTTTTCAAATCAGTCGTATAATACAACCGAAAAATTTAAATTAGAATTAGAACTTACCTTTCTTTGTGCTTCCGCGGCTAATCCAGATTTGGCTGCTCTGTTGTTGGCCATTTTGAACTAACAACTAAGTTTATACGATAAATAATAAATTAAATCACAGACACGGTACGCCGTGATGTCACTGCGTGCAGTTGAGAATAATCTGGCGTTTGGAAATGTAAACAGGCGTGCGGGTCGCTGTCGTGTCGGCTGTGGTGCCACTGCTGTGTGAGTGTGTGCTGATGAATGACATCATGCAGCGCGCGACCGGCCACTGCACGATCCCCGGACAACAAATAGGGATGTACATTTACTAACTATCGACATTTCTTGAACTTCAAAAAACATAATTCCCAAGCGTAAACTCCCAAGGTAGAAAATTCGTCAGTGTCGTTTAATTTTATTTATTCATATTCGAAATCTGTTAAAAGCGTTAAATATATCAAATCAAGGAAATCATTTTACTATGGTTTTATTACTTTTTGTAACACTCACATAAAAGGATATGATCTTTAAATTAAGTAACTTGAGATATCTGCATAATTCGGGACAATAATTTTCAACGTACATTAAAAATTACTAAGACCCAAACTAATTTTATTAAAGAGCAATAGGATCTAACTAACACACAATTAATCTACTTGTAAGAAGTTTCAAAATTCAAGTATTTCATCGAACAATTCAGTAAAAATTAAATATCGACAAACAATTCTGATATACAACACTAGTTCGAAATGTAAAATGAAAACCAAGTATGGACTACAATGAGGGCGAAAGAGATAACAATATCAGCGTTACTGCTCGATCGTCGCGAAGGAATGGCGGCGACCCGAAAAGCGTGGAGGCTGTGCGGCAGGCTATACACATATTATAGTAAGTACGTACTGCGTCCACATTTTCCTATTGGGTTACCAAAAGTTGATACAAACTGAACTTAATAATCAAGATTTTTACATAGTTTAAGTTGTTCAAAATTTAAACATCAGTTCTAACAACACGATAAAATAACAAAGCTTTCATCCCGTAAAATTTTTGAAATTCCGGGCTTAGGTTGTGTTTGAGCGCCATCTTTTTGGCAAATATACAAATAGAACTACCTAGTTATTTTAACTAAGTTTAATTTTTAAGGTCGTTAAAAGATGGCAGGTAAATCAATACTTAATTGTAAAAAAAATGTTAGAATTTGAATATCGTTCTTAAATTAATTATTAGGTACACTTTATATTACTTTTGACCTCAAGATAAAAAGGTTTAGGATTAAATGTTGAAAAATTACATTTAAATTAACGTATCATTTTTCAAAAAATAAACTAACGTCATTCAGTTGCCAATGAAATGTATTTGTGTCAAATTTTAGTAGTAAATTAAAATTTTAAATATTAATACACCAAAAACAAAATGCTTTAAGTTAACAGATATTTTAGGCTTGAGGAGTAATGCAGAATTGGCCTGGAAATTCATAATACCAAAAAAAGCTATAAAATCATAAAACTTAGAAAAATGGATTCATATAGAAGGAACCGTAGAAAGAAATGTCGATTTGTTCCATCTACTGAGATAAATGGACAAGAAACAAGTAATACTAGCAATTCATGTTACCTCGGCCATATCTGCAGTTACTTGATACTGTCGAGCTTGATCGTAATAGTTTATCTGCTTATGGAATACAACTGCACCACTTGTAAGGCTAAATGTGACTTAAACTGTATCAGTAAGCACGTCGAGAATATATCGGTTAGTTGGTAATTATTATACGACTAATTTAAAATGCATCTTTGAACGAATTTAACTTCGTACCAAGATGAATATTAAAAGTGCCATATTTAAAACTTAAAACTCCAGCCCAACCTACTCTTCAATCGCTCGCTAAGGCTCCCTTATCTGTTAATTTGAGAGATTAACAAAAAGTATTTTTTACATAAAACTAGCGACTATAAAACCGTATAGTTCAATTTATTTCAGTACTTGTTTGACCATCATTACAATCATCATCATAATCAGCCTTTATCTGCCCACATCTGGACATAGACCACGGTAAAAGAAATGATATCTAAATGTGTTTAAACGTATTATATCTAAATGTCTCCGATATACGGAACGACTGCTAAAATCCGCATTTAACCTAATGTGTTGAGATTCACGTATTAAAAATAGATGTGCATACATTTTAATAAGTAGTTCAATATTAAACTATTTTTTCAGACTCACTTAAGTTTCATGAAAGATTGCTATAAAGATCTGGAGAATCAGGTGTTGAAATTGTCTCGCGAGTTTCCAAAATTTGAAGGGCAACTAGAAGTGCTGGAAACTCTTGCTAACACACTCGATGCTAACGAAAACGGTTGGGATCCGAAAACACAAGAGCCTTTGCCTTACGTCGGTGTATCACTGGAATATTCGAGAAAACCCTTTCGTAGATTAAACAAAAGTACACAAAATTCATATGCAATGGAAGCTAACGTAGGTTAAAATAAAATTAAAGTTGGGGAAGTCAAAGTTTTTTTTTAGTGTACCCTTTGCCTATATAACTACGTTGTTGCTATAGCAATAAGATCTGAAACCTAGCATAAAAGCACGACTTTCAGAAGTCTGGATCAAAAAACAGATGTACTTCTAAGGTAGCGTAGCATGTATATTTTAGATTTAGATTAAATGATCTTGAAGACAAAACTTGGAACGAAAACGCTGGTCTAAGTATTTGAAGTGAATTTTTATTATACTGTTACAAATTGTGCCCATCTCTATGTTTTTTCCGACGCGTATTGTTAATTCATGAGGCATTGTAGCTTGAAAGTCGATTTACCATTCCTACGAGGTACCTTCGGGAATATTTGAACTTGAATTAGGTTCAGTTTGAACTCTGATCAAATATTTACGCCAACAACAGGAATGAAATACAACATTGTAACACATTGATCACACATTTCATACCAACTTCGTTTTTTTAAATAAGAGTACATCCTTCAAACTCGACCAAGTTCAACATCTCTGCTTATCCCAATCACATGGCATCAGCGTACGAGGTACAAATGGTCAAATAGAGAAAAAATTGCACTTTCTTTCGAAAAAAAACTTCGTTCCTCACAGTTTTATTTTCGAAGAAATATTTAAAACAAACGAAGCACTTTCCAAATCATTTATTGAGGTTAAGATAACAGGACCAAAAAGACTTCGCAAAAATACGAATCTAAACTGTGATTGAACCAATCAGTAACTAAACATTTATACACTAACATGTGTGAGATAGATTTGACAAATGGTACATTTACAAAAATTGCTACTGTTAAAAGAAACAAAAAATATTATCACTTTTTCAATATGTGAGAAGGATGACAGTATATTTCTGTACGTTTCAACAATGGACAATGTTGCATGCAGATTAGGTTAAATGGCTATACAGGACCAATCTTCTCATGTCGCATGGCTGGTAAGTTCTTGTCTCCAAAGTCAGTGCTGTACTCGTATACGTTGTTTACGGAATTCAATTCATGTAGCTCTTTGTTGACTTTATTATATTCGGAACTGATGTGACTGATTGTATCCTGGAAGATGCAAAATTAACGAGAAATGAGAAATTTGTAGAGAAACTAAGGTACAGTCGAGAGAATCCGCGATCCGCGATGTTCCGCTTCAGAAAAAAATGCCTTGTTCATTGCAACTAGACAAACTCCGCCTTCTACAAATCACTAATTAGATAGAAGTTAGTGGTGCAATTCAACAATAACTAAAGAAACGAGCCATGTTTTACTAACAGACTTTTTTCGGACAAATTATATTTATAAGATTCGTTGTATCGATTTTTCTTCCGCGTCTCGTTTCGAAATGTTCAAACGATTATAGCTTTTAAGGTGGAAAACCGCCAGTTTACTCCACTGTACATTGCAAGCCGAAAGTTATTTTAGCAGTATCCACTTTACTAAATGTATTAAAATAGGCGAGCACATAGGCAAACGAGCAGCGGGATCACCGAGATGTTCATCGACGTCCATGAACATTCGCAATACCAGAGAAACTGCCGATGTTTTGCCTTGAGAAGGTGATATGCTCACTTCTTGAAGAACCCTAAGTCGTAGCGGTTTAGTAATACCGCCAAGACTATTTCATAATTAGTTTGTAGTACCTTCAGAATGTGTAAGCTGGAATTGATTTCGCTAAGTTCAGATCTCAGTACGAAGTATTCCCACACATTGACAGTGAGATGTGTGGCTATTACCACAGCGGCTAAGAACAGTCCTGCTTCTATGCACATTGTTGTTACGGACTTTTTCAGAGGCATCTTTATGTGACTGATAAATTTTGATGCTTTTTTCCGGTTTATTGGACTTGGAGCTGCGACATTTTTTGATCTTTTTTTAATTGATACCTCTGACATTTTTGACAGTTTTGTTCATTTTATAAAAAAAAGTTTGTCAAACTGTTATGCTCTCATTTTAATGGCGGTATTGATAATTACTGATCTGTATTAAAAGATAGGTGATTGTTTAGAAATGACAACTTTTGCTTCATTACATTGTTAACTAGCTGTTGCCCGCGACTTCGTCCGCGTGGTATTAAAAAACATACGAACTATGTAAATAACAAAAAGCTACGTATCCCTCGGGAACCGGACTTTTTTTGGGGATAAACCTTATCCAATGAGTACTCTAGACTTTGTTTTATATCTGTGCCAAATTTCAATGAGATATGTTGAACCGTTGCAGAATGACCGAGAAAGTATTAAAACACTAAATTAATGAATCCCACGAGAACCGTAACTATTCCAGGGGTAAAAAGTAGCCTATGTGTTCTTTCAGATTATGCTCTAAACCTGTGCCAAATTTCATGGAGATATTATATTATCTTATATTGTTAATTAATTGTTAGTAGGTATATAGATGCCCATCAACTGGTGACTGATCAAACTATTACTTGAATGACTAATAAAAATATCTCTTTAGTCAGGTGTTACAGTAGTGGAAACTCACTTTCAAAATGTTTGTGGTAATATTAAAAATGCATTTAGCAATAAATGTAACCATTTAATCTTCTTAATTATGATTTAACTATGTAATTGATCTAACCACTAATACAATTCTTATAGTGCTGTTCTTAGAATTGGCCCGTTGGATTCATAAACATATTTTAGTCTTTCTTTTTATAATCTAGAGCCTGGAAACAAGTAAATTAACATTACAATACAAGTAGTAACTAAAATTAAGAATATAAGTTAAAAGGATTTAGTATAAAAAATATTATTCATCAAGATAATTAAAACCAAAACAAGATGTTAATCGTATAATTGTGGCTTACGACAGTTTACGTAGTAGCCATCGTAATTCGGTTGTTATACGTTTATGCAAGAAACTGGAAACAATTTCGTAGAACTTACTGGAAATTTAGTTTCAGGGAGGCATCTGAATGACCGAAGTAGGCGTTGAAACATATTTTTCTTTGCCACCGACTGTACACCCTGCGACTTTAACATACGTCGACAACTGTCGCAGTAACCTAAGCTGTTTTTCTAATAAATTCACAATGATTAATAAGTAACTGTGAAAACAATATTTTACTCTGTGCTAAAAAATAAAAGTAAGTACCCTGTGTTCTTCCAGACTATCCTCTACATCTGTGCCAAATTTCATCAAGATACGTTCAGTAATTTAGGCTACAATCATAACAAACATCCATCCGTGTAAACTTTCGCGTTTATAATATTAGTAAGATATATGTATTTACATTGTCTATTCTTTTATTACAAATTATAACACTTCTAATAGGGAAGTAGACAAAATACCAGCAGTCTTAAATGAATACATTTTGACTAGTGAATAGTGCTAATTGAATTTTTGTTAATGTTTAATTAATACTCACAGTAGTAGTTTCAACATCATGCATAGAGTTTTGAAAAAGACTGTATTCACCAACTACCTCTTCGTAATCGGTTTGCGCTTGAGCAACCTCCCTCTATACAAAAGTAAGAAAGGAGATAAATAAAATATAAAATAAACATTTAACATTCAAGATATCAAAGGAAATATAGAATAAGAATACATTTTATAATGAATCCCTATAGTCAAGAACTTCGTAAAAAGAATTCAATAAAGTCGATCAAGTTTGTAGATTAAGCAAGGCTAATGACAACTGTTCTTTGCAGACGCTATGACATGCGTTTTTTTTTTTAAATAAAAGGGGGCAAACAAGCGGCGAGATAACCGAGGTGGTCAACGACGCCCATGGACATCCATAACACCAGAGGAACTACAGATGCGTTGCCGGTCTTTGAGGAAATGATAGGCTCGCTTCTTGAAGGACCCTAAGTCGTATTGGTTTGGAAATACCGCCGAGGGGGTACGTGTACGGCGTGTACAGTACTTAAGCCAAGTTTGCAGGCGTTAACGACTAATAAAACAGCGACATAATAAAGTTAATTATTTCGATTTAAGTAAAGCATTAGATCAGCAAACTTACTGTAATAGCATTGACAATTTTCCTCAACGCTTTCGTCTCTGAAGAATCATGAATTGCTTTAGCAACAAATGGTATGAACACACTGAGCAGCATCAACAAGACGATCATAGTAACTGTATAGTTGTCGATCATAACATTCAAGCAATCGCTGATGTAACATTTTATAGTATCCCATAGTTTCATGCTTCTAAATTTACGTTTCAATCCAGTTACGTTAAAATGCGTTTTACTACGAACAGGGTAAGCGCCTGCAATAAATATATAGTTATAAAATGCTACAATGAGAATAAAATACACTATTAGTATAAGGCACTAGGAAATTGATGTATAAACTAAAATTCCTCCCAGTTATGTAGGTGTAATAGCCCTACGCATTTATTGTCTGGGCCACACTTAAAGGGTCTTCTTGTTATATTCTCTTATAGTAATTCGTTTTATTTATTTGCAATCATTTCTTTCTTATTAAAGCAATCTTCAAGTCATCTATAACTTCTTTGGCTATTAACATATTCCTGTACTTTCATATCTAAGACTCCCTTTGTCATGAAATATTCTACTAACTAGGACCTGAGCCTTATCTAGATCTCATGTCCCAGTTTCAGCTGCCAAATTTCTAGTTACGTCTTACATTAAAAGATCAGTGAATGTTGACTTTCAAGGATTAATTAGAATGTCTCGCAGTCAAACCATCGTAACTTTTAAAATTTACTATTCACCGGTGAACATAGGGCAACGGCACTTTTCATTTCTGAGTCTAGTTTTTCTCATTTTCGTATTATTTTATACATTATTACAATTTATTCACATTTTTGTTTTGACGTCAAAATCTTTTTTATATGAAGTTTCAGGTTCATTATAGATTATAAATTAATGGAGAGTAGATAATGTCATAAAATAGCAGAAACTAATTTTAGTAAGTTCAATGTAATAGGAAATCACGTTCTTTAAATATTTTCGTAAATAAAACTAATTTTAACGAAGTATAACATGATACTATTACCCTTTAGGGTATAAAATTGCGAAAACCCTAGCTGACACTAATAAGTTTAACTTTGTGTTTAATAATGAAAATAGAGATACATAACGTTTGATTTTTAAATGCAAGGATATTTATCTATGTCTTCTCCGATTAGTTTCTTTTAAAAAAGTACACATACGCTAATTATTAAGTTTTTTTAATTCCCCGTAGATGTTGTGTCAGCCAATTAGTTTAGGAATAAAAGCAGTGTCAAGAAAACATATTTTAATAATTAAGGCCTCGTAAGAAATAATAATTATTAAACATAAATCGTATAATAATAATAAAAATTGAGCTATAGCTTGATAGGCAGAGAAAAGCATTTTCTTTGTACCGTTGCACTAATCTTTTTTTAGATTTCATTTAGATGCGGCAACTAAAACATAATTGAAGGTAATTCTGATGAAGTAAAGAAAAACAGACTTTTATAATAATTTAGAATTATTTGATGATGTTTTAACTTACTTTAAAACACTCTGACAATCCTATCTCTCTTATAAAATCCTCATCTATATTGTAATTGTTTCGACCTTGACAACTATCTTTAGATGTAGTCGTCTTCTCTGCTTCTTTCTCTATGATCATAATAGATTTAAATATATCGTTTGATTTTGTCTTACGTGTCTCAACATCTAAGTCAATATCTTTCAAAATTGAAGAAGTAACTGGATAGGATTCTTTTGTTAACAAAGTTTCGACGCATGGACAACTTCTGACATCTGAAAGTTAAGCAATCATGAAACCAAGGATGTTCTGAAACTGTTAATTATTTAAAAAAAATAACAGTGAACTTCGAGGTGATGTGACAACAAAGGTCTGGCAGATACCTTGACGGCCTTTTATAAAGAGGCTCGCTTCTTGAATTTCTCTAAGTCCTATTGATATGCAGGATAGTTGTATATTGCGTGGCTCATGTTAAATCTACTCCAATGATAAACATAAGTCATCAATATCTCTGAGTATTGTAATTAGTGTAATACTTTTAGATTTTAACAAAAGGTATACGATTCTGTACTGATTCGAGCTTGGTCTTCTTACCTATGCAATGGTTTCAACAGTTTCTATGAACAGCACACTAATGTTATAAATGCGAAAGTTTAGATGGATGGATTTTGGTTTGTTTGGTTTGTTAGAGTTTGTAGCCTAAACGGCTGAACGGATTTTGATAAGATTTGGCATAGATGTAGAAGATAGTCTGAAAGAACACAAAGGCTACTTGCATTTGTTTTTTTAGTTCTGCACGGACGGAATCGCGGGCGAAAGCTAGTAAATGATAAATAAGTGTTACGTGTTACTGGTGCAGATGGTCTTCTTAATCGATTTAAAGGTTCCAATAAATACATAACAGAAAAGACCAGTACTGCAATAGCTGCTAAAATTATCATCAGCGATGTTTGTAAGATCTCATTTAATCGGTTATAAACTTCTCCTATAACATATTCCATTTGCTGGTCACTTTCAAGTGTAGACATTTTAAATTTATAATCTTAAACTAAATTCTATAATAAATATACCTGAAAAAAAGAGTTGGAAATATTACAAAAAAACAAGAGTTTTCGCAATTTGATTTGACATTTCTTACAGTTAAGGAAAACATCGTGATGTAACCTGCACATAGAAGAAAATTAAAGATATGTGTGAAGTCAACCAACCCGTAGTAGGCCAGTATGGTTGACTATGGCCTAATCACTCCCAAACCTACGGTAGGCTCCGAGTCTGTGGCTCCTAATGAGAGTTGGCTATAAGAGATTGTTGTATGCAACTAAAGATTTTAACTACATAGCAACCAAACATGTGAACCACCAACAAACGTGTACAAATGAAATATAAAATTAATAAATAAAGATATTCAAAATTTTAGTACCAGGCGATTCTTTTCACATTTTTAAAGTATTGCGAATATCTTCTATAAACGAAGACAGGGCGCATATTATGCTTTTGTAAATTTTCACCTAATTTTCTTACAGCATATTATGTCAAGGCGTTGACGTTTCTATCATAAAAGGTAAATAACACAGAGTACTTTGTAACATACTGAAAAATAATTAAGCAAAAAGGTTAAATATTATGCAGGTTTATGGTTACTTCTTTTTTTTTCTTATATAAATACAACAAACAGAACATTTTTTCAACTGCCAGATGTTTGTCTCCTCCTTTATAAAGACTTGTTTTAATAAGAGCTGTTTTCTATACGATTCTTATGAAAGCTCAATCCTAGCAAAATGAAACTATTTGTAAGTATTCCAGAAAATTCGAAAATTCTTTTTCTTTCTGAATTTCATTTTTAGATCAGCTCAATTAGCATAAAAATATATTTTGTGAATGTTAAACAGACACTTATTAAATCATCCTTTAGCCGTAATCTCTATAGATTTATTAATTCAAATCCATTATTGCTAATTAAATGGATATCGGAATTATGTTTTAATAGGATTATAAATTAAAATGTTCATTCTGTATCTTAGGTTGTTTGATTTATATTTTCTCTCCAAAACGTTACGATGAGTAAAAAAATTTAATTAAAACCATTGTTAATATAATCGGCAGTTTATATTCTAGAAGTATCATCATCTCCCCTTTTTCTTTTTTTTTTTTTAACGT